CATTCATTCTCTCACCTTGGTTGTTGAGAAATCACTTAAATGTTCATTCAAAGTTCATGAAAATAGCTTGGTTAGTGACAAAAAAATTCAATCACATAGGACATGTACCGTAAACTATGACGATGTTGTCGATGGGGCTACCACCATACCATGTTTTCACGTTGGAGGAAATGGAAGATGCGACAAACAACTTCGACCCCTCAAATTTGGCCGGGGAAGGATCTCAGGGACAGGTAAAAAGAGTTAGATTGACACAAATTTCACTGAACGAGACATAGATTAGATATAAAGTAGAGCGTCTTACTATTTTCAATCTTATTCACGTTAATCAATGAACAATTATTTTTCATTGATTACAGCTCTATAGAGGATGGCGTAGAGACAGCTCAATCTGCCTGTTGAAATGTTTGAAGTTGAAACAGAAGCATTCGCAACAAAGCTTGCAGCAACACATGGAAGTGATATCGAAGCTGAGGCATCGGCATTTGGTCAGTGTTCTAGGACACTACATTGTGACATACCAGAACCACCACCCCAATACAGCTAGCGCTGTCTTCATTGTCCTTGAGCATGTTGCAAATGGGTCTTTGAGGGATCACCTTACAGGTAAAATAAATAGCACACTTCACGTTTATAAAAACAAAAAATGATTTAGACCTCTAAAAGAGGAGCTCTAAATGAGCATTAATTGTCTTTTTCTTCTTCTTGTTTTGTCTTTTACTTATTTTTTATATTTTTTTTTAAAAGTGGGATGCCACCTCAGTAGAGCAGCTCCACTAGTGCTTTGTAGCACTGTTGTTATAAAAATATCCCTATTTATGTCCAAACAAAAAATACACGTGTTTGTCAGGGACATTGACACAAAATGTAAGGTTAATTATTACTTTTTTTGTATTTATTATTATATGATTTTAGATAGTTTATTTGGGATTAAACTTTTTTTGTATTTATTATTATATGATTTTAGATAGTTTATTTGGGATTAAACTAAAATGTAAGGTTAATTACACTTTACCCCTTAACTACCATTGAATATCACCTTATCATTCTCTTGACTTTAAAAATACATATAGACTCTCAACTATCAAAAATTGTACAAAGACCCCATTTTTGGAGCGGAAAGGTGAAGAATTTTGATAGTTCAAGAATTTATGAGATTAGTTCCACAGCGAGAGAATCTGATATAAGGCAATGCCTGTGTTTTTCTAGATTTGGCAGATTGGATAAAGAGGGAGTATTTGAAATGACCACAGAGAATGAGGATTGCAGTGGGGATTGCCAGGGGAATCCAGTTCTTGCACTCCAGAATCACTCCAGGAATGTATGGAAATGATCTCAAGATCGAAAACATATTGTTGGACAAAACTCTCACTGCCAAAATTAGCAGCTACAACATTTCATTGCCATCCAAGGTGGGAAATTCTAGATTTCAAGCTTACATTATTACCAATTCCTGAACATTGGCAACCGGGTTTTTGCTTTTTCGTGTCTTCAGAAAATGAAAAGTTTCATAACACTTTTACGTGTGAAATACTTTTTGAAAATTAGCAATTTTTTTGCATTTAGGTTAAACAAGTACATTTCACATTTCTTATCACTTGTATGAGTTAGTACAGAGAAAAAATTGACGGTAATTTGAAAGAAGTGGCCATATTGAATGTGAACTTAAAATATATGTAGTTAATATTGTTCAAATTGAAATAATTCAAACTAAAGTGAAATTTGAAAACTACAGAGGTAAAAATATGTAATTCACCCAATAATTTTTCTATGTTTTGAAAAATAAAAATAGAAAACAGGACAGAATAAAAACACAATCAATCAATCTGTTTATTTCATCAAATAGATCAGTCTTTCTGCTCAACTCCTTTTGCATTTTTGAAATGTTTTTAAGTAGGTTCAGAGAGCCCTCTCAATGGACAAGACAACCCCAACAGGCTTTCCAGGTAATATTCTTTTCCACTTAATCTTCTCTATCATCTTTAAAACCTTGAATTCATTTTCATAGAAGCTCTGTATGTATATGCAACACTGAAAGTGCAGAAAAGAATGATATTTATCAACTGGGTGTAATTCTACTTGAAGTAATTTCTGGTAAACCAATCACATCCGAAACTCAATTGGCTGAGCTCAAACTTCAGGTATATGTTTATTTTCCATCATTTTCTCTCCTCATTTCCTTCAAAATCTCAAAGGATGATGATTCGGTCCAACAGTAAATGTTAATGTTGGCATTTTGAATGATGTGGGTTTGAGTCACTGAAGTAACCTTTCTGAAAAATTGGAAAAAGATTGAGAACATCTTATTCTTACTTGGGAAAAGATATCCATCCTCCAAACTCACTAATGGTGTTTTATGACTTGCCCTTCATTTTTCTTATTTTTTTTGTAGTATGTAACCATATAACCAATATGATGTTATGATAAGACAAAATAATTACTTAATTACGCAAATTCTTGCCCAATAACAAGTGACTATCTACTTACATGTCCCAAAAACAGAGGAATAATAACTGAACGAATCACGAAACACTATTGGTTGGGCATACAATCACGTGATGTTGCAAATGCACGTCATAAATTATATCTTAAATTCTCATATCCTTTTGTCTTAATACACTTCCAATCATTAAGTTGTGTGAGCATCTCGAGACACTTAAATCTCAAGGCATAATTCAATGGTTGACAGAGAGACAGAATAATTCAGAGAAATATAATCTTGTATTCCTGAAAAATACCCTATGTATAGTGTAAATTCAAATTTTGTCCACATTTCATTTTCAAAGTACTTTTCAAAGAGAATTTTTTTGGGAGTACATACCATTGCTAATTTTTCTTTCTTCAAATTCTAGTATCCTGCAAGTGTGCTTGATCCTAATTTGCTTCAACATCGTTTTACACTTCACAGCCTGAAAGAGGTTTAGCAGAGTCACCATTGAGATTGCGAGAAGCAATCGATCCTTCCATTCGTGGCACATTCGCACACAAATCATTAAAAACTGCAGTCCAAATCACCATGAAATGCCTCAGCAAAGATTCAATCTCATGTCCCACCATTGAAGATGTTCTTTGGTACATGCAATACTCAATTCAAGTTCAAGAAGGATGGACTAGCAGTGGAAACTTTAGTACAAAAGTCTAGTATTGCCTTCAATTAAACTTCTCAGATTTGCAATGTTTGTTACCTGAATTTCATTTTCTTGTAGTGTAATTTAGTAGCTATCCTGTTGAATTTCATGATCATGTGTAGTTACTCTATATAGGACTCTAGTGATTCAACAATGTATCCCCCTTATGCTTTTATAAAATTGTAAGTGCACAGAATTTAATAACAAAATCGAACAGAACCCTCTCACATGAGGTGGAACTCATCCGGTTCTGTGATTGAATTCTATGCATATAGTTTCTTTTTCTATTTTGAAAAGAAATAGGGTTCAACATGAATGGAGTTGGTTTGGGTTAATTAGAATCAAACTCAGAATTTAATAACACTTGCTTGGTTTCAAATTTTTAGATTCCGAATTTAACCAATCATCTTTTTGGTTCTACATTAATTTAAGAAAAAAATTTGCTTTGTCCCCTCAAATTATCACACTAGTGTCAATTTGTTTTCTCAAATATTGATTTGAATAGAACAATTACCCCTTAAAATATTCAATATTAAATAAAATACAAAATACAATTAATTGTAGCAAATTATTTTATCTGTCGGAAATATTAAATCACTTGATTGATTGCAGTAAAATAAACTAATATCAATAGTTTAAGGGGCAATTATTCAAATTGATAATTCTATTTGGAGGTGGCAAAGTAATTTTTCCCTTAATTTAAAATTTTCATAATTATAAAGCAAAATTTTAGAAAAATAATTTGTAAAGTAAAATTGTTGTATTATAAACATAAGGATAACCCTTACAATGGGGGAATGGAGCAAAATTATAGAGTAGAATTGTACGTAATACATAAAAATTATGAGTACCTAAACAATTTTTCTGACAAACATTTCTTTAATAGCATTTCTTTAGAAATTTAATGACAAACATTTTTTTATGTACTCAAGGTAAGAGATTTTGGACAAGAGTACCCAAACAAGGTGGAATTCTAAGAAGACGGAACAATTACTCCTTCAACAGTCCCTTTTGCTACTTTCTAATTGGTTTCAAACCTTCAAATTTTAATAACTTCTAATTCACATATCCATTTGTGTGTGTGTGTGTGTGTGTGTGTGAAATTTGCAATTTAAAATCCTCTCAAGATCTATAACATGATATGAAATTCTATAAAATAAATTAACAAAATCATAAAACTTCACTGCATTAGTGAAATCAATGAAATTTCTTGTTAAGCATTAAAAGTTCTAGAATTAAGGATCAACCACAAAAAACTAGGTCCCTAATTATAAAGTTCATGGTAAAAAGTTGAAATAGAGGGTTTGAAAATGAAAAATTTTGAACTTTTCTGTTTTAAAACAGTGAAAACAGTGAAATTTCCCTGAATTTGCACTGTACAAATGTATTTGTGTGAAATTTCATTGACCAAACAGTTGAAATTTCACCATCTTAAGGAGGTGGAACTTAACTATAATAGAGAGTTTCATTCCTAATTATCCATTGTATACATGCACAAGTATAAGATATTAAAATTATTAATCCTGCTTTGTCTGAGATAAAAACAAAGCTGACCAAGAGAAGGAAATACTCTCATAGCAGAACCTGAACAAGTTTAAGGACAAAAATTGTACATCTTAGAACACCATTCTAGTTCGTCTATGATACTTGTATCGGCCTCAGTAGGCCGACAACGGGTTTTTAACAAGAAAATTTTGTATGTACATTAACTCGGACGAAAAAAGCAAGACAACAAGCTCAACAGGAACTAAAATAGGGACTAAAATTCATCTATAGAACATAAGCACACACAATATAATTCACGGAGTTTGCAACACAATCATTTCTAAAGTTTCAAAGTTATTCAAACATGCCATTAAACTATTTTTTGGATGTTTAATCGCACCCTACTACAAGGGGTATCAGTCAGCCGTCCAACTCTGCTCAACAATCTCCCGTACTCTCCTGTTGTACTCCCGCTTGTTCTCGCTAAACATTCGTGCAGCTTCAGAATTGGCCGGAGAGTTTGGGTTCGGATCACAGAGCAATGACTACAATAGAAAAGTCCACGGTTAAAAAAACATTACATGCAAGAGATGGGAACAATACCCCTCAAAAAATGATGACTATAAACACGTTCACAATCATAAATTATACACATACACAAACACACATACACATACGGAGATGGAAGGAGGGCAACATAATATTTGTGCTGCATCATAACTATTGACTAGATATATGAAGTCATCATAATGTAATGCCATTGATAATACTGCTCTATACACAGTGATGCAACAAAATTCCTTAAAAACGAAATCTATATTATGTTTTTATAAACACATATATAAACTCAACCTTCAAATTCATAATAATAAAGCCTACAAAAACAAATAAAAGTACAGATCATAAGAGCATAACCATTTGGTTCAAATCTATACAACGGTTTCAACAAGGGCTACAAATCCGTGCATGATTATAAGGGGCACAAAAGCTGTTTAAAAGCCTGCTTAATGTTGTATTTATGCAATGATTTATGAAACCATACCAAAGTTTCTCAATGTATTATTGAGTGGAATTGTCAGAGGTCCAACCAATCTCCAACTAGATTTACCAAAGGGGAAATATCAATTCAGTCCAACTTTTGAAAAATAATTACATATTAATGATAAACTTTATAAATATTAAAATACTAAATTATAAACTTCTTCATGAATATGTAAATATTTTTGGAAAAGACCACAGTTATGTAATATCCCCTTTCCCAAAAGCAATAATAATTGGAAAAAAAGAAGAGAAGAAAAAGAAGAACAAGAGACTATTAGTTCTGGTGGGGATTTACCACAATCTTCTAAATCTATGGGTGGAGGATCACCCAAAATCAAAAGCCTCACAACCTAAGAACAAGGACTCAATATTCATCACCAAATAACAAAAAACTCTCTTTTGCAATGGGCTACACAGTAACTTTTTCTTACCCTTTTTCTTTTCTTATTTTTTTGAAGAGGGGGGTGGGGGGGGATAAGTTAGAGAAAAGCATTTTTAACACTACCTAAAAAATTGACAACAATAATTCCTTGTTTCCTTTAAAATGAACATTTATAACTGCCTAAAAAAGTAAGTAGCCCAAGAACAACAAAAAAGAAAGTGTCCACACTCCACCACATGAGCTTGGAATGAAAAGAGAAAAGATTGATGGGGTAAACATTGTCGACCCCATGGATTCATTCTTCATGATGCTTAGGGTAAATGCAATCAATCAATTAATTCAAACTCAAGACTTCATTAAAAAAAATATTAAAAAAAAAAAAATTTGTTCATTCATAAGCTTGCTACAGTTCAATTGTCGGTGTTTCCATACTCTACTTCAGCTTTAACTTAGAACCCCATCAATCCCATTTGTCATCAACAGTCACACTTGACAGTACTAAGTTCAACACCCGTACAAAGCAATAATCCCATACCTGGATGGAGGTAAGTATGGCAGCCACATCATAGATAGGACTCCACTGATTTTGTAGAATATCCAAACAAATACTTCCATCCGCATAGACTGCCAATAGGGAAGGCAAAATGGGGACTTAATGTTTTATCAGCAGATACACACATATCATTTTATGAACATATAAAAGATAACAATAAATGGTAATTGTAAAAGCTACAGTAATAGAAACAATATAATAATGATAGGGCAGGAGAAGAAACTTGACAAGTTATGTGACTCCAGAAACCCCCCCAAGGGCCAAGGGGTTAGCAGAGTGGAAAATTTAGCCGTGATAAGTGCCTCGGGAGGGCTTAGTTCACGAGGTCAACTCCCATGAAGCGCTTGGCCCCCCTTGGGGGCACCCATAGGGTTTGTGCCCAGTAACTACCTGGTATGAGTGGAACAGGGGACTACATATACCTGGGACTGGTAGGGGCAAAGACCACACCAGCAATGATAAGTGAAAATGTGTGTAAATTTTTATTTATATTATTTTTTGTACCTTAGATAAGTGAAAGTTTGCATAAAGCTTTAATAACCAAATAGTAGTTTTTCCTCCGAACCTCCTTTTACAACCCTTAAATTCAAAGTGGGGATTATCATTAGCAAGGGCAAGTTTCCTACACATTAAAAATGCAGAGAAAAGTTTTTTAAGGATAGTAAAGCATCATTATTTCCGGTCTTTATAGAAGCATGTCAACAAGCACAATATAGGAACATAAATGAATAAACATCATGTTCCACAACCGTATAGTGTACACACTTATGGACAACAAAGTTGACAAGAAATGAGGATAAAATAGACACTAGTGATATAGTTAGAAAACGGAAATTACTGAGAACATTATAAGCAGGTGCAGCAAGTGCAAGTTTAAAATTAAAGAGCAGAAGGTGTGGTTCATGCTTCCAACTTACTATTTGGATGGAACATTCGAGAAACAAAGCGCACTGTTGGTGGCTTATTTGGATAATCCTCTGAAAATTGAAGTGTCAATTTAAAGGTACCTGATGATGGACATAAAATATTTTAGAACTCTTCAATACAAAAGGTAAAATGTAGCACCAATCACAATATAAACAAGAAACAACCACTATTACAAAGTAAGCCTCATGGTAATTTGGAACAATATTTTAAATAGAATGTACAATCATCATCAGCAGCAAAACACAAATATCATCTTCTATATTTATCTGCCATTGGTGTTGTTGAGAAACTGGGAGAAATTTAAAACAGATTTGATCAAATTTCAACTAATGAAGTACAAATAGAAAATTTTACTGATATATGTATGCCATCAATATATTGAACATTTATCAATCACTGTGAAACTACTTAATTGACAACATGTAATTGATTCTATTGTATTAGTGTAAGACGGGGAGTTTCCCGTCCCAAAGCTGAGCCAATCAAATCCTAATGAATAACCATTTTGCCAAAAAGATTATGTCGCTTTAAATATTAGTGCTTGTTTAATGTAGAATGCTTTTATCTTTGCAGAACATGAGTCATATGAAATTATAGAAGGTTTTAACTAAAAAGTGAGTGTAATGGCAACGCCCAAGTCACCCTTGCCCTAGTCTCTATCTATAATTATATAATATTTTTCTTAGAAAAAATTGAAGGATATGAATGATTTTGAAAATAAATAGTATATATTTTTGAAAGTAAATGTAATAAAATTATGTAGTTATGTATATCATATTGACATTTTTATTTTTATTTTTGATAGATGATCTACACAAAGTAATTTAAAGAATGAACGAGTGAATGATTGAAGTAAGATTTATGATA